TTGTCTACATCAATCATATTACAGGCAGAGGGGAGGGATTGTGTACTCTCTGGAGAAGTGCTTGGAGCCCTCGGTAAGCACTAGGAGCATCCGTAGCTCCATTACATATAGTGTATAGATTTCCTTGTCAGCTCTATGGATTTGATCCAAGACTCCAAAGGAAAAGGTCTGCTCAAGTCCTCTTCCAACTTTATAATGGTTAGTATCTTCACATCCTGGTTTACTCTGTTAAGAATATTCCTCTTTGTTAGTGATTTCTTTGAGAAACTCCCAGACAAAATCTAAAGGAGATTGCTTTATTATTTGGATTTGAGGCAAAACGTTTACTATCATTAAAAATGAGAGTATTTCCCTACTAGATAGTCCATATTTTGTCTGTATCTGTGAAAACGTATTAACCTCAGAATATCTACATTTATCCATCCAGTCAAATTTAAATCTATCTACCTATCAGGTAATCCTCCTGTCAATACTTTGCATGCAATTCTGGGTTTTCGACTTCCCCAAACAAATGAAAAAAATTAACTATGAAACACATACAACAATTTCCTCGGAACTCTGAAAGGCAGAGTGCAGAAAATATTTACAGCAAATGCACTCTGAGAATATTTATTTTTTTAAGTTATTTAAGTTTTTAATAATTTTTTAAATACAATTTTTTATAATTTTTTTAAAATTTATTTTAATTCCTAGATATTGGATTGATTTAAGTTGAACTTAAATTGATTGCTCAAAGCTCTCTCTTGAATAAGGTTAAGGTTGCAATGGATAATTTATGTTTTCTGCATATTAATTTTATAATTTGAGAAACGGCTGAATTCATTAATGCATGCCAATACTCCTGGAACAGAGATCTCTGGATAGGCAAGAGTTAAGACGATCATCTGCATTCATGGTTATTTTTGTTTCTTGCTATCCATGAAGACTACCTGAAATATTACTTGACGGCCTACTGTATGCTGCAAGAGGCTCAATGGAAACAACATATAGCAGGGGTGCCAGCGTAAACCAGTAAGTATCTGGTGTGACCACTATTTACCTCACGTAGTGCAACACATCTCCTTCGCATAGAGTTGATCAGGTTGTTGATTGTGGCCGGTGGAATGTTGGTCCACTCCTCTTCAATGGCTGTGCGAAGTTGCTGGATATTGGCAGGACCTGGAACACGCTGTCGTATACACTGATCCAGAGCATCCCAAACATGCTCAATGGGTGACATGTCGGGTAAGTATGCAGGCCAAGCAAGAACTGGGATGTTTTCAGCTTCCAGGATTGTGTACAGATCCTTGCAACATGGGGCAGTGCATTATCATGCTGCAACATAAGGTGATGGTCGTGGATGAATGGCACAACAATGGGCCTCAGGATCTTGTCACAGTTTCCCTGTAACACCTTAAATAGCTTCCCATCTAGTATCCACCCACAGAGGTAACATAACCAATACCTAGTGGTCATTTTTAGGAGGCGGATACTACATGTGGTCATTTGTGAAAGGAAGTGACTCAAAGATTCTCACTTCCTTCCTAAAGCACATTGACTATGCGGCAGCCATCTTTATTCACTCAATGTCACAGTTCTCACTAGGCCACCTATAGGTCACTTCCCCCTTAAAGCACGTCTCATTAAATATGCAGCAGCCATCTTCTTACTCTTATTGTCATATAGCTCACTATACCACCTATAGGTATCATAAGTTATTGCACATGAATGGGAACACAATAATCGAACATTTATCATTGCCCATAATCAATACATCCGTGAAGTGAACACCTCTCCTAAGTGCCAGACGCCATTGAATGTGAGTATTAGCCCACTCAAGTCGGTTACGACGACGAACTGCAGTCAGGTCCATACCCTGATGAGGATGACGAGCATGCAGATGAGCTTCTCTGAGACGGTTTTTGACAGTTTGTGCAGAAATTCTTTGGTTATGCAAACCGATTGTTGTAGCAGCTGTCTGTGTGGCTGGTCTCAGATGATCTTGGAGGTGAAGATGCTGGATGTGAAGGTCCTGGGCTGGTGTGTTTACACGTGGTCTGCAGTTGTGAGGCCGATTGCATGTACTGCCAAATTCTCTGAAACGCCTTTGGAGACCGCTTATGGTAGAGAAATTCAATTCAATTCACGGGCAACAGCTCTGGTGGACATTGCTGCAGTCAGCATGCCAATTGCACACTCCCTCAGAACTTGCAATATCTGTGGCATTGTGCTGTGTGATAAAACTGCACATTTTGGCCTTTTATTGTGGCCAGCCTAAAGGGACACTCCAGGCACCCAGACCACTTCTGCCCATTGGAGTGGTATGGGTGCCAACTCCCATTACCCTTAACCCTGCAAGTGTAATTATTGCATTTTTTTTAAACTACAATAATTACCTTGCAGGGTTAAGTCCAAAAAGTGTATTAAACAACGCTGGATGTCCTCACGCTATGCATGAGAACCTCCATCGTTGCCGGAATCCCCAGAGGAAAGCATTGAAGATCTCCCACGCCAGCTGACGTTGGCGGGGAAGGAGCGTGGGTGGAGCCTGACACAGCACCGAGGGTCATCGGCACTGGATTCAGGTAAGTCACTGAAGTGGTTTTAACCCCTTCAGCAACATGGGATGGGTGTGGGGTGGAGGGAGGGAGAGAGGCACTGCAGGAACCTGCAGTGCCAGGAAAACAGATATGTTTTCCTGGCACTGGAGAGTCGCTTAAGGCACACCTTTGCAATAATCATGCTGTCTAATCAACATCTTGATATACCACACCTGTGAGGTGGATGGATTATCTCAGAAAAGGAGAAGTGCTCACTAACACAGATTTAGACAGGTTTGTGAACAATATTTGAGAGAAATAGGCCTTTTGTATACATAGAAAAAGTCTTAGATCTTTGAGTTCAGCGCGTGAAAAATGGGGGCAAAACCAAAAGTGTTGTCTTTATAATTGTATTCAGTGTATGTACATAAATATGTATACACTGATCAGCCACAACATTAAAACAACTGACAGGTGAAGTGAAAAACATTGCTTATATTGTTAAAATGGCACCTGGGGTAGAATATATTAGAGAGAAAGTGAACAGCATTAAAAATGGGCAAGCGAAAAGATCTGAGTGACTTCGACAAGGGCCAAGTAGTGATGGCTTAGTGGATTACAGCATTTCCAAAACGGCAAGTCTTATTGGGTGTGCCCAGCATGCAGTGGTTAGTACCTACCAAAAGTGGTGCAAGATAGAACAACCTGTGAAGCAATTTGTGTCTGATCACACAGAAAAACGACTAACGCTCAGATTGCCAAAAAGTGTAATGCTGGCCATAATTGAAAGGTGTCAGAACACACAGTGCATCCCAGGTTGCAGCATATGGGGCTGCAGAATGGTCAAAGTGCCCATGATCACCTCTGTCCACCACAAAAAGGGCCTTCAACAGGGACCTGAGTGTCAGAACTGGATCATGGAGCAATGGAACATGGTTGCCTGGTCTGATGAATCACAGTTTCGTTTAGATCTGGTGCATTGTTTACCTGGGTTAGAGATGGCAGCAGGATGCACTATAGGAAGAAGACAGATTGGCAGAGACAGTGTTATGCTCTGGGAAATATGCTGCTGGTAAACCTTTGGTCCTGGCATTTACGAGGATGTTACTTTGACACGTCCCACTTACCTAGAGATTGTTGCAGACCACTGTTGTGTAATCCTTCTCTCACCACCAATACTTCCAATTGGTATCCTTTTGAGAGAAATCCACTCTGCGTTGTGTATTAATAGTGAATGTAATATCCCTGTGTAACCTCTTCCAAGAACTAACATATATCTTTATCCCCTTGTCCAGATAAATATATGACTAGAACTACTAAGGTATTCTACCCGATATTACAAATAAACAGCCAACACCATAGTTCTTACCAGAGAGAAATATTTACTTAGAATCTGCCCAGTTGAATATTACAGAAGAAGAATGTTACAGAGTTCTAGTATTACAGTTACAATACATTCATAACACTCATACATTCCATCTATCTAATACTATCTGCTACATTGTGTATAATATTGGCTACATTATGTATGTGCTGTGCATGTTATGGGCAGCTTGTGTGTCTTACCAAAACCTAACCTAATGTGATGTCAGTATCTTCTATTTTTAAAGGAATTGGTTCCCATGTTGTAAATAGCCAATTCCTCAGCTCAATTTGACATGGAAATGTGATTTCCTTTCCCAAGGCCCAAAGTGTTGTCTATCCTGTTATTTTATTTAAGTGTTAACTTTCCCAGCCATCCCTTTGTCTCTAACCCAATGTGTGTTTTCCTATATAGGGACTCCTTTGACCAGTTGATATGTAAATGTGATTTACTTTCCCAAGGCCCAAAGTGTTGTCTATTCTGTTATTTTATTTAAGTGTTAACTCTCCCAGCCATCCCTTTTCCTCTAACCCAAGGTGTGTTTTCCTAGATAGGGACTCCTTTGAAGACCAGTTGATATGTAAATGTGATTGGTGCCTTTCAGGTGCTGTATCGTTTCCAACTATCTAAACAGAAACTCCCTTTGAAGATAATTCCTGACCTCCCATACACACAGACTTAATCAAGCACATATTAAACAGATATATACATAATATTTTCCCCAACACTCCCCCACTTGAATAAGATCTAATAAGGAGATTATTCACATACAGCCCCGCCTCCCACTCTGATTTCTGTATATTAAAAAAAAATCCAAAAAAAATCAAGGGAAGACATAGACCCACACATATATTTTATATCCCTAAAATGGATGTGAGCTCTAATTTTTCCTGCTTTGTATGGATTTTTTTTAGTTCTTTCCTCCAACAGCAATATAAAATGAATAGAGAACAGATTAAAACAAATTGTAGACAAACAAATATTACAGAAGCAGTTCTTAATCCTGGGTGTGTGTAAGTATTGTAGGGTATGCTCCACCAGGGCTCTTGAAAACTATTTGTTAAATCATCAAGGCTAGCTACATTTTCCTTCACCAGCTCTTGCAATTGCACAACCCTTCAATTATTTCTTTTAAATAATGTATCCAAATCTACATTAAGTGGTGGGATTTTCTTAAAAAGTGAGGGAGCCATTTTATTCCAATTTCCTAGATCTTCCTGTACCACGTCCATAGATCTTTGTGTGAGTTGGATATTGGCTCTTATGACCTCTTTGCCCACTTTCATGGAGCCATAGGTAAGATTAACACACCATCCTGTTGGGGGTACCCTACATTGTATTGTTTGCTGCCACAGAACTGAAGATACTCCCAGTGCGCAGATCGTGGGACCCTGTCCGTGCACCACTCTTTTCCAACCATTTATGGGTTTGTGAAGGTGAACAGGGCAGCTCCCTGAGTTTTCCACCATGCACCCATCTGCCTGGACTAGTGGTTCTAGTACACAGGAACAAAGCCAAGCATTACCACGTCTGTCACAGCAACTGGGGTTGATAACTTTCCAGAACTGGTCTTCTTTTATTACTAAGCGAGTTTGTGGAAGGAATTGCTTTAAAACATTAGTGCGATTAGCCACTTCCAACTCACCAAACATAGTCATCTTATAAACAGGTACAGGCTGTTCTGTCCAAACTGGAATGTCAATTATTAATGGAATTACCTTTTTTCCTAATTTGCACTTATTGCACCAACTCTGCAGACCTTTAATTTTGGAAAGGACTACATTCTGACAATCTATGCCATATTCCCTAACCAGATCAAAGACTAGGGTAGAATTGATTATTCTGGGCCATTCCCCTCGTTTTATTTCTTGGAGGCCTAAATTTAGATGTTCGTCTAGTAAATTTCCAACTATACCACATACCATAGCTTTAGATACATTATTGTTATTAACGGATTCTCTGAGAGCATTCACAGATATATTGATCCACTGCAAATCTGCAGCAACTGTGTGAATGTTCTGTATCGTGACATCAGTTTCAGCTAGAGTGTTAAAATCCACTCGTCCCTCTTTAAGCATAATTTGCTGCAACCCATTAACATAATTTTGTTCTTGTGAGTTAAGACCCTCTATGTCTGCCCTATTCCAAATTGATGTTCCCAAACTGAGTCCTGAGATTATATCAGTACCCAGATCCCTTTTTTCTCTCTCTCTAAACTTGAGCCCTTGTGTTGCATCCCAGCATAGATTAATATGTGCTTGAAATACATTTTTAAACCATTCTTTCATCATCTCTGGGCAACTCTCTGGCATATTAAATAATGAAAAATTTAACAATAATAGTAATGTTACATAAGATACATCAGTATACACAACAGTTTGTGTTGGTTGTAAGAAAAGGCCATGCTCTGGCCACAGGGTGGTAGTTGGACAGTCCTGAGAATTTATAATTCTTATGTTAATTGCTGGGTCAACTGTATCATGTAATCCAGTCTGATGGGGGCTGCATGTTACAACACCATCCTGGGAAAATGTAAAATTTCTTTCAAGCAGCATCTTTATCCTCATTTCATTTGTGGTATTGGCCCAAAATATACTTGTACTCTTATGTAAATCACTTCCTCCTGGATATTTCCAAACTGCAAATTCAGAGGGAAGGTTAGTTTCAGGCATTGAAATATTACATTGTATCACTATCCACCCCCCTATAGGCCCAACCACTGTAAGATTATCTTTACATGTAACGTCAGGTGATTGTTCCTTTACTTTTAATGTTACAATGATATTCTCTGAATCTTCTGAACTCCTTTTCTCCCTATGATAACCCTCTACTGGAGTACTCTGATGTACCATTTTATTGTTATTCTTCATGACATTCCCTTTTGCTAAGCTATACAATATATACATAGAAAACGATACACATAACCACCACATCACGACAGCTGTTTTCTTGCACTTCATATTCCTTATGTGGGCTGCTCTTCCAGGGATCCACACCATCTCCTATTATCTGGAAAAGAGAACTAAGAGACTATGTTAACATTTACATTAACTTGGCATAAAGTGCTCATCTCCCACATCTAACAAATACACAGAAGGGCCAATTTTGTCAAGCACAATATATGGACCTTTCCATTTTGGTTTTGGAAATGTGTGGTAAGGGGAAAAATCTTGCAACATTACTCAGTTTCCAATCTGATGCTCTGTTATATCCCTTTTTAAAAAAAAAAAAAAAATGACAAAGATTCAAAGATGTTTGTCAGCATGCAGTCTATAGAAAACTGACAACGGTCTGTTGCCATACAAAGATAAAAAAAATAAGCTTAAGGCTATTTTTATAGAAACAAAAGAAAAGCAAACATACATACACATGTAGAGAAAAACAAAAAAAATTATGGTAGTTAATTGCTGGGAAACCTCAATTGATCAGTCTTTCCCTCATCTCTCATCTGTTCCCTAAGCGCTTTTACATCTGCCTCCAATCTCTCAGTCTGTCTCTTCAGATCCCAGTATTCTCTATTCCCTTCTTTATTCCTCCAATTATCCCAATTCCGTCTACTGGTCTGATCATCCCATCTATGGTTCCTTCTCCAAGAATTCTCCCAATAACTGTTCCTGTTGTTTCTATGTTTTTCTCCCCAACTGTTATTTCTCCAGTTATTATCTCTCCTTTTTAGCCTCTCCCAGTTATTATTATTCCAATTATTGTTAATTACCTGAGGCTCATTCCATCTATTTCTCCAATTATCTCCCATTACATTGCTCCCTTTAGCACTATCCCTATTCCTATGGCCCCTCTGTGGATCTCTCTGTCTTTTGTCACTATCAGATTCATTCTCACATCTAAAATTTCCCACATGCTGAAATCTATCTCCCCTGAATGGTTTCTGAGGATACATAGCAGACCTGTCTCTCCTCTCTACTCTGAAAATCCTTGCAGCATCTACAGCAAAACTCTCATTTTTAACCTTTCTTCGCCACAAATTATCAGCTCTTAACAGTAAATCACACATTTCTGATGGGTTTGGGGTTACAAATAATATCTCATCTTTAATATCTTGCTCTAATGCATCCAAAAACATTGATCTATGCACCAGCCCTCCCTGTTCAAAACCAGGATTACTGACACCAAACTGTTCCATCACTGTGGAAATTCTAGCTGACAATTCATACGGAGACTCTTGTTTCAGCTGTTTAATTTTTCCAGACAATGACACATTTGATGTAACTCCATAAAGTGCTCTCAAGATCTCTTTCAACATATCCCTAGTTCTACGCTGCTGACCACATGTCTGTACAATCCTGACCCACAATCCATTTCCAACAACTCTCTGCAGCACTCTTTCCATATCACTAGTTGTCAAACTATACATCTCTTTCACTCTTTGAACTCCACAAAACCATTGCAAAAAGCGATTTATATCCTGCTGAGGGACCTGCCCTATTTCTCTAACTATGGCATCCATTTCTTGTTGCTTCAACTGCTTAGTAACCAGCTGAATCTCTCCAGAATTATCAGGATTCAACACTGTGGTTGTTGTAGTTGGAGCCGCAAGGAGATTTGTCACTGACTTTTGTTTCAAATCCTCCCATGGATAAAGAGGTTTGTATCCTGTATCTCCAATCCCTGGGTTAGCAATAGACCCTGGAATTTCAGATACCGGAGACCTACTCGAAGGTGCCATGCTTTCTGCCATTTTATTAAAAGCCATATTAGTAGCATGTCTGCATTCATACAATTCTTTTTGCATCTCCAAAATTTTCTCATTCAGCCTCTCATTCTCCACTGTAAGTTCCTCACACATTTTTGCCTTTTCAATCAAAGCTTCACCAGTTGTAACTGCATGCACTCTTAGATCTACAATTTTATTATTCAATTTCTCAGATTTCATGTTAATTACTGAATTTAGCTCTGCCATTTCATCCTCCTTTATTTTTACAATTCCCTCTAATTTTAAACAACATGATAGCAATGCTTGCACAATACACCCTTTTCTTTTTTTATCAGAAACATTTTTATCAAATAACATTTCTCCTAAAAACTCCTGCATCTTTTCCCATGACTGTTTACAGTCCTGAGGGATTTCATAAGGACCACCATGTCTCTTAATAAAATTCATAAGCCATTGTTTAACATTTTCTGAACAAGCCATTTTTGCATCTACCTTTTTGCATGCCATATTAAAAATATACACTGCAGCAATAGAATAAATAACAAATATACTCACCAAGCTTTATGCAGACACTGGAAACCTCTTCTGGCTGACAGTCACAGAACCAAATACGTTGATATTAAAACTTGGATCCTAGGCAGATTCTGAAGAAAGAAATCTTCCGGCCACGGTCACGGCACCAATTATGTTGTATAATCCTTCTCTCACCACCAATACTTCCAATTGGTATCCTTTTGAGAGAAATCCACTCTGCGTTGTGTTTTAATAGTGAATGTAATATCCCTGTGTAACCACTTCCAAGAACTAACATATATCTTTATCCCCTTGTGCAGATAAATATATGACTAGAACTACTAAGGTATTCTACCCAATATTACAAATAAACAGCCAACACCATAGTTCTTACCAGAGAGAAATATTTACTTAGAATCTGCCCAATTAAATATTACAGAAGAAGAATGTTACAGAGTTATAGTATTACAGTTACAATACATTCATAACACTCACACATTCCATCTATCTAATATCTGCTACATTGTGTATAATAATATTGGCTACATTGTGTATGTGCTGTGCAATGTTATGTGCAGCTTGTGTGTCTTACCAAACCTAACCTAATGTGATGTCAGTATCTTCTATTTTTAAAGGAATTGGTTCCCATGTTGTAAATAGCCAATTCCTCAGCTCAATTTGACATGGAAATGTGATTTCCTTTCCCAAGGCCCAAAGTGTTGTCTATCCTGTTATTTTATTTAAGTGTTAACTTTCCCAGCCATCCCTTTGTCTCTAACCCAATGTGTGTTTTCCTATATAGGGACTCCTTTGACCAGTTGATATGTAAATGTGATTTACTTTCCCAAGGCCCAAAGTGTTGTCTATTCTGTTATTTTATTTAAGTGTTAACTCTCCCAGCCATCCCTTTTCCTCTAACCCAAGGTGTGTTTTCCTAGATAGGGACTCCTTTGAAGACCAGTTGATATGTAAATGTGATTGGTGCCTTTCAGGTGCTGTATCTTTTCAGCTATCTAAACAGAAACTCCCTTTGAAGATAATTCCTGACCTCCCATACACACAGACTTAATCAAGCACATATTAAACAGATATATACATAATATTTTCCCCAACAAGCCTGACACAGAAGCTGGCAGCAGTGGCAGACAACTGACTGCTATTCAATCTATAACAGTGAAAAAAGTTTTTTGTTTTTAAATCCAAGCTATTGTGACACCAGATGTAATTGGTGGCACTGACTGGGGAAATGGGCACTGTGAGCCTGACACAGAAGCTGGCAGCAGTGGCAGACAACTAAGTGCATTTACATTAGATAGAAAAAAAAAATCCAAAAAAAGCATACCCTTATCCCTAACCTAGCTATGCTTTTCCCTATCTTATGAACAGCAGCTACACTTTCCCTCCTCTTACTAAGCATGCAGCTTGAGAATGAATCTAAAATGGATGCTGTCCAGTAGGTGGGAGGGTCTGCTAGGGAGGCTGTGCTGCTAATTGGCTGGAATGTGTCTGCTGACTGTGAGGTACAGGGTCAAAGTTTACTCAATGATGACGAATAGGGGGCGGGTCGAACCGCGCATATGTTCGCCCGCCGTGGCGAACGCGAACATGCTATGTTCACCAGGAACCGTTCGCCGGCGAACCGTTCGGTACATCACTAGTGGTGAGTATGACACATATATGTCAACTCACTGTCAGAGTTCAATTCTTAGGGTGGTAGGCTGCTCGTCCGGCGTTTTTCCTGTTCGGCTGCTAGAGAATCTCCTCGTGTATTGTCTGCTGCCAGAAAACAAACGCCTCCAGACTCCGTGGTCTGTAAGCTCCTCCCCCTTTGTATGACGTCAACGCGTTTCGCCAATCGGCTTCCTCAGGACGTGCTCACAACCTCCATCTTGGTTGTGGGCTTAAATAGGGCAACAATCCCTCATGATTGGTTTATTAATAATTCAATTGAAAAAGTCCAATTGTTCAATTAAATTAACTAAATATCTTGACATAAAGTTTAATAGGACTTTGATTCAAATATACATCTGTCATTAAAGACTCATTTAAGACTCTTTGAAGGATTGTTCATGGCAGAAAAATAAATGACATGGCAAAATTAAACAGCAAAAAAGCATTAATAAAATCACAAAATCACAAAATCACAAAGATACACAGCATATTAATATTGATTATGATTTAAACTTAATTATGATTTAAAGCAATATTGCCTAAAAAAGGATAAAAAGAGAGAACTATTAATTGGCATATCTCAAGACTTACTCTTATTATAGTTTTGGCAAACACAATATAATAGATAAAACATAAATAAAATGTAATAGTAATTAGAATCAACAGTGGTAATTATTTCACCAGAGAGTGTCCCAGTGGGAAAGGTGCATAACGAAGTGCAATCACAAAAAAGTGCAATCACAAAAAAACTTATCATCCATATAAATGTGAACAATGTAATTGTGAAACAAAATAGGAATAGAACTGAGAGCATGAAAATATAAGGTTCAAAAATAATTGATAAGTTTAAAAAAATTAATTGATAAGTTTAAAAAAAACAATTAATTTAAAAATGCTTTTGAAAAGCAATTAAAAAGCATTTAAAAAGAAAAAAATATATATATATATTTAAAAAATAAATTTAATTAATAATTAATTAAAAAATGTATATCATATAGAATGAAAAAAAAAAATATATATATATATACATATGATTCATTATTTTAAAAAATGGCAAATTTCAAAGTCATTGTTCAGGCCATATGGAACCATAGTATTTAAAGTAAAAATCCATTGCATCTCAGCCTTCCCTATTTTTTCCATGAAATCCCCTCCCCTCCATGTTCTCGAGATTCGTTGGATTGCAATAAAACATAATTGTGTAAAATCAGCCTGATGGTGTTGTGCAAAGTGTGCTGACACTTGGTGTAGCGCATATTTCCTCTTTATGTTATAGACATGCTCACCTATACGTGTGTGTAAAGGTCTCGTCGTTCGTCCTACATAATGTAGACCACACGTACAGGTAAGCAGGTATATAACGTTTTTGGAACTACATGTTATACCTTCCTTTATTCGGTATGTGATATTATTGACAGTGAAATCCTTAACATGTTGCTTTTTGCTTCCTATTTTTTTGCACGTACTACAATACCCACATCTAAAAAAACCCTGTTGTTGATTTAAAAAATTCTCCTGTTGGTGTGGTTCATCTAAAACATTCTTAACTAAAATTGTATTTAAATTGGGAACTCCTTTATGAATAATTGTAGGTGTATCTGTTAAAATATCATTCAAAATGGGATCATCCCTGAGTATTGGCCAATATTTCTTAATAATATTACGCACTTTATAATTATGTCCTCCCGAGAACTGACATATAAATGGGATATTAGGCACCGTATTATTTATCTTCTTCTCCTTATACTTTAAAATCTCATTTCTTTCTAATTTGTCTACTTTTCTTTTAGCTTCATTTAAAAAAACCTTCCTTATACCCTCGTTCTTTAAAATCTTTAATAATCTTTTGGCTTTGTTCTAGAAAAATTATTTCTTCTGTGCAGTTTCTTTTCATCCTAATTAATTGACTGCTTGGCACATTATTTAGCCATGGACTAAAATGGCAACTTGTGTGTTGGATGTAGCTGTTCACATCCACTGGCTTAAAAAAAGTTTTTGTTTTTATTTTATTATTCTCAATATATATTGTAAGATCCAAAAAATTAATCTCCCTACTACTGACTTCCGAAGTTAATTGTATACCCCATTGATTTGAATTGAGTATTTCCATAAATTTATGGAGTGATTCTTCTCCACCCTTCCAAATTATAATGAGATCATCTATGTATCTTTTATATAGCACCAAGTCCGACCCCCCGCCATAGCCCTCCTCAATATGGATATATTCCCAATAAGCCATAAAGAGATTGGCGTAGCTGGGGGCGAACTTGGTGCCCATAGCCGTGCCGCATAGTTGAAGATAAAAATCTCCCTGAAACCAAAAATAATTATTTTCTAAAATAAGAGATATAGATTTTAAAATAAATTCAATTTGTTGTGGTGGATATGAAGAGGAAAATTTTAGAAAATGCTCTACTGCCTGTACACCTAAATCATGTTTTATACTCGTATAAAGGGAAGCCACATCTGCTGTGACTAATAAATAGTCATCTTCCCACGTGATTTCACTTAATATCTGAAGTATACTTGTAGTATCTTTTAGATACGAAGGTGTTTTTTGAACCAGTGGTTGGAGCATATAGTCTACATACTCAGATAGTCTGCATGAAACCGAGTTAATGCCCGAAACTATCGGACGACCAGGGTTTTTTTTGATACTTTTGTGGACCTTAGGTAGGAAGTAGAATACCAGGATTTTTTCAAATTTTATATTTATATAATCCCTTTCAGATTTACTTAGGATGCCTGTTTCAAATCCTTGGGTTATTAATAAATTACATTTCTTTTTTATATCATTTGTTGGGTCCTTATTTAATTTTAAATAAGTTACCTGATCACCTAACAAATTATAGGCTTCCTCCTCTTTATCCATAATTACTGTGCCCCCCCCCCCCTTGTCTGCCGGCTTGATAACTATTTCCTTGTCTTGTCTCAATTCTTTTAATGCTTTTTGTTCCTGTAATGAAAGATTTAATTGATATTTATTTAATGGTTTCAATCTTTGGATTTCTTTATTCACTATATTTAGAAAAGTAGTCATTTCGTCTGATGAATGCCATTTTGGAAAAAACACAGACTTTTCTTTTAAATTAGTGTGTATAACTTCATCGTATAAATAAGTCTCTGACTTTAAAGGAGTTAAAATATTATTTGCCTCTTTATAAAAATGTTTTTTTAAACATAGCTTTCTCATAAATTTTTGTAAATCCACATAAAATTTAAATTTGTCTATTCCCTTTGTAGGCGCAAATTTTAAGCCTTTTGCTAATAGTTCTAATTGTTCCACTTTTAAAACC